ACTCCATCGTGCCTACTTCAAAAATTAAGGAAATGTATGCAAAGTGGGTTGAACTGCAAACCTTTAAGGATGAAAATCACCCTAACACAGCTATTGCAAGCTGTGCTGGTGACTATTACAATGACAATGTTATGGCCCATTTTAGACAAATCTTAAAGGAATGGTGACAGAGGTCCAGTGACTTTCAAGTTGGTCCTAGTGGCATTAAAAGAAGAAGGGAAGCAACCCCGGAAAAGGACTTGCTACCTCAAGTCCTAATGGAAGGGGATTCCCCTTCTGAACAGTAACAACTTCGACACTCTCCCCTCCTCCCATCCCATCAATCATCACCAGATCTTCATTAACCCGTAAACGGTCCAAGCAGATCTACGTTCACATGTGTAGTGCTCCAAAAGTAGATCTACGTCTTTTTTACGTTTTCAAATATAACAAAACAAAAAAAAGTAGATCAAAGTTTTTTTACATTTTCAAATGCAAAAAAAAAAAAAAGTCTACTTTTTTACATACTACTTTCAAATGTTGAAAAAACGTATATAAACGTTTGGACCTTTAACGGGTTAAAGGTAAGTGTCAATTATTCTACTGTTATTATTCTATTGTTATTGTAATTATTCTATTGCATTAAACTTAATATTTCATATGGTAAAATTTTTTTTTTTCATACTTTTGGGTGTCTTGCACAGATTAATTTGATTTCCATTATTTATGGGGAAAATTAATTCGACTTTCGATATTTTCGACATTCGATAGCTCTCAGGAGCGGATTAGTATCGAATGTCGAGGGTCCACTGTATAACATACCCTTCCAAACTGCCAATATCCCAAACCCCTCCTTTAAAGTGCAGGCATTGCACTTCCCATTCCAGTACTCAAGTCTGGCTATATAAAAATAACCGGTTTCCCTGAATCCCTTCACTAAATATTACCCTGCTCATACTCCAACAGCTCGTCAGGTCCCAAATACCATTCATCTCTTTCACTCCTATCTAACATGCTCATGCACGCTTCCTGGAAGTCCAAGCTCCTCACCCGCAAAGCCTCCTTTACCCCCTCCCTCCAACCCTTTCGAGGACAACCCCTATCTCGCCTTCATTCCCCTACAGATTTAGAAGCTCTCCATGTCATTCTACTTTGATCCATTCTCTCTAAATGACGAAACCACCTCAATGACCCCTCTTCAGCCCTCTGACTAGCACTTTTATTAACTCCAGACCTTCTCCTAATTTCCACACTCCAAATTTTCTGCATATTTACACCACACATTGCCCTTAGACAGGACATCTCCACTGCCTCCAACCGTCTCTTCGCTACAGCATTTATAACCCAAGCTTCACACTCATACAAGAGTGTTGGTACCAATATACTTTAATACATTCCATCCTTTGCCTCCATAGATAACTTTGTCGTCTCCACATATACCTCAACGCACCAATCACCTTTTTTCCTTCATCAATTCTATGATTAACCTCATCCTTCATAAACCCAACTGCTGGGAAGTCAACTCCCAAATATCTGAAAACATTCACTTCTTATATACTCTTCCTCTCCAATTTGATAACCAATTTTTCTTATCTAAATCATTTGATACCCTCATCACCTTACTCTTATCTATGTTCACTTTCAACTTTCTACCTTTACACACCCTCCCAGACTCATCCACTAACCTTTGCAATTTTTCTTTAGAATCTCCCATAAGCACAGTATCATCAGCATAAAAGTAACTGTGTCAATTCCCATTTTGTATTTGATTCCCCATAATTTAATCCCACCCCTCTCTCCAACACCCTAGCATTTACTTGTTTTACAACCCCATCTATAAATATATTAAACCACCATGGTGACATTACACATCCGTGTCTAAGACCTATTTTACCGGGAAGTAGTCTCCCTCTCTTCTACACACCCTAACCTGAGACTCACTATCCTCATAAAAACTCTTTACAGCATTTAGTAACTTACTACCTATTCCAACCTCTGCCACATTACACCCCTACCCACTCTAAAACCTTCTTGCGCATCCGCAATCCTACATTCTGTTTTACCTCTAATTCTTTCAAAAATAACCCTATCATACACTTTTCCTCGTATACTCAGTAAACTAATTCCTCTATAAGTTTTACAATCTCTTTTGTCCCCCTTCCCTTTATAAAAAGGAACTATACATGCTCTCTGCCAATCCCTAGGTACCTTCCCCTCTTTCATACATTTCTTTTCTTCTTCTTTTAACAAACCGGCCGTATCCCACCGAGGCAGGGTGGCCCAAAAAGAAAAACGAAAGTTTCTCTTTTTTTAAATTTAGTAATTTATACAGGAGAAGGGGTTACTAGCCCCTTGCTCCCGGCATTTTAGTTGCCTCTTACAACACGCAGGCTTACGGAGGAAGAATTCTGTTCCACTTCCCCATGGAAGTAAGAGGAAATAAACAAGAACAAGAACTAGAAAGAAAATAGCAGAAAACCCAGAGGGGTGTGTATATATATGCCTGTACACCTACCATCCGACTTACGACCTGCTCAACTTACGACCACTCGACTTATGACCGTGTTTTTTATGCTAAATTTCTGGGAAATAAACAACTATTTGTGTTGTACACAGTGTTTATCCTAAACCTTACAGTATAAAATACAGTACTAACAGCATAAAAAGTAAAGTAAAACATGAAATACCAAAATAAAACAATAAAATAAAGTCATTACAAAAATGTTTTGTTGATATTCAGTAGTAAATTTCGACTTACGACCATTTCGACTTACGACCGGTTTCTCGGAACCAAACTCGGTCGTAAGTTGGATGGTAGGTGTACATGTATGAGTAGTGTGACCTAAGTGTAAGTAGAAGTAGCAAGACGTACCTTAAATCTTGCATGTGTATGAGACAGAAAAAAGGTCACCAGCAATCCTACCATCACGTAAAACAATTACAGGCTTTTGTTTTACGCTCACTTGGCAGGATGGTAGTACCTCCCTGGGCGGTTGCTGTCTACCAACCTACTACCTACATTTATTAAACAAAAATACCAACCACTCTAACACTATATCCCCCCCCCCTGCTTTTAACGTTTCTGTCATGATCCTGTCAGTTCCAGCTGCTTTACCCCCTTTCATTCTACGTAATGCTTCACACACTTCACCCACACTCACATCCTGCTCTTCTTCACACCTAAAAGATGGTATACCTCCGTGGCCAATGCATGAAATTTCCGCCTCCCTTTCTTCGTTGACATTTGTAAGTTCCTCAAAATATTCCCGCCAACTAAACTGACAAATCCAATCGTTCCCTAGGCTTTCTTAACTTGTTTAACTCACTCCTAAATTTTTTCTTATTTCCATTCAAATTTCTTGACAGTGCCTCTCCCACTCTATCATCTGCTCTCATTTTGCACTCTCTCACCACTCTCTTCACCTTTCTTTTACTCTCCATATACTCTGATCTTCTTATAACACTTCTGCTTTATAAAAACCTCTCATAAGCTAACCTTTTCTATTTTATCACACCCTTTACTTCATCATCCCACCAATCACTCCTCTTTCCTCCTGCCCCCACCCTCCTATAACCACAAACTTCTGTCCCACATTCTAATACTGCATTTTTAAAACTTTTCCAACCCTCTTCAACCCCCCCACTACTCATACTTGAACCAGCCACCTTTCTGCCAATAGTTGCTTATATCTCACCCGAACTTCCTCCTCCCTTAGTTTATACACTTTCATCTCTCTCTTACTTGCTGCCATTTTTCTTTTGTCCCATCTACCTCTTACTCTAATTGTAGCTACAACTAAATAATGATCCGATATATCAGTTGCCCCTCTATAAACATGTACATCCTGAAGCCTACCCATCAACCTTTTATCCACCAATACATAATCTAATAAACTACTTTCATTATGTGCTACATCATACCTTGTATATTTATTTATCCTCTTCTTCATAAAATAAGTACATTTATAGTCCCTCTTTTCCTGCCATAGCTTATACTTCAACAATATTGTTACTCCTTCTTTAGCTCTAACTCTGAAACACCTGACCTAATCCCATTTACTTTTCTCTATTGAAACTCTCCCACCCCCTTTAGCTTTGTTTCACTTAAAGCCAGGACATCCAGCTTCTTCTGATTCATAACATCCACAATCATCTCTTTCTTATCACTCGCACAACATCCACAAACATTCAGACATCTCACTTTGACAATTTTCTTCTTCTTATTTTTAGTAATCTGTACAGGAAAAGGGGTTACTAACTCATTGTTCCTGGCATTTTAGTTGACTTTTACAACATGCATGGCTTACGGAGGAAAGATTCTTTTTCCACTTCCCCATGGATATAAAAGGAAAAGTAATAAGAAACAAGAAGTGTTAAGATAAAATCAAAGAAAACTCAGATGAGTGTGTATAAATAAACGTGTACCTGTATGTGTAGTGTGACCTAAGTGTTGTTATTATAATTAGGCGGAAGCATTAAGCCCATAGAGATATTATACTGCTTGGGAAAAGGGAATCAAGTTTAATCCAAGGAAGGAGAGAATATGTCCCATCCTCTAGATGATGAGCCCCTCACCAGTATCAAAGTACCTTTCCTTGAGAAGTACCCAAGTTATGATGTTTCAAAGAAATTAATGTTCTGTGACCTGATAATGATTTGGGTCATAACTCTCAACCTATAGGTAAAGCCAATCTAAGATTTACAGATGAAAGTTAAGATAACAGGATAAGCTTAAATACCATATTTGACAAGATTTGGAGATGGTCCTGGCACTTTCTTACTGCTAGGTGAAGAGAGGCATCAGGTGTAAAGAAACATGCTCACTGTCTCTCACCTGCCCCAGGACTGAACTGGGTATTCTAGTTGTAAGCTGAAGATGCTACTCATGACCTAAGAACCATCTATTTTTCTAATTCTTTAATTGTTTTAAGAAATTAATATCAAGAGGTATTTGTTAGACTTTTTTCTTATTTGCTAAAGGTTTACTAGAATAAACATGAAAAAAATACTGAAGCACAAACCTGATTGGTTATTTCATCTTCTGGCTTGACTGCATCCTTATGATTCTTCATCTGTTCAATGAGAGCCTTATAAAATCCAAAGCAATAGGCATCATTCTTGGTCATAAGAGGTTCAAGAATATACCAGAGGCAGGAGCGTATTCGTGTCAACTGTGATACATCGTTAGGATCTTTAAAGTCAGGTTGGTGAGCTAAAAGTGGAACAGCAAACACTAGCATGTAATCTGGCATGATGTGTGGCAGCTGACTCGATGCTTTCTCACCTGTTATAAACAATATAATTAGAGAGAAAATTCCAACAATTTATTGCAACAGGAACTGGTGAAACTTAATTTTGCATTTTATGTGAACATTTTTATAATAATTCGTATATTTTACTTACGGATGTATAATTATTATTATATGGGAAATGGGAAACTGGTATAGGGTCAAACACGTATTTCATTTTCAGGAAGATAATTCAGAGATGGCAACTCCTCACTACTTGAAAAATAAGCATCAACTTACTTCCACCTGACATTGTGATTGATCTAATATAATCTCTTCTCTTGGTAATATCTGCTAACATGAACTGTTTAACTGCTACTTTCAACTGCCGGTCAGTTTCCAGACCTGCCAAGGCATAGAAGCCCATGAAATCCAGAGGCAGGCACTTGTGTGGGATCCCTCGAGCCAGACCCTTGTGTAGCTTGATAGCAAACCTCTCACGCACTTGTGGACATTCATCCTAAAAAAAACAATTTAAAATACAATAATTTCCTTCAAAATTCACTAAGGTAATTCACTTCAGAATAAACTACTAAATAAAACATTTACAACGATGAAGATAAATGCTTCCCCAAAAGTTGTTAAACTGCAAAGTGACCGAAGTGAATATCGTTTAGAAAGAAAAAATTGTAAAATGAAGACCCAAAATATGAATATAACATTTATTATACACTAAGAACAATCTTCGGAAATTCCGCTCCTTCCCAACTCAAAAAAAAGGCACACCATGATCTTCCCAGAGAAACATCTGGGCAACATCTGGGGGTGAGATGTTATCAACAAATTTTATTGAAAATGAGAAAAAGTTTTGGAGTGAGATTAATAAGTTCAGGAAGCCTAGGGAACAAATGGATTTGACAATTAAAAGCAGGAGAGGAGAGTTATTAACCCTTTCATTATTGAGACCCCTACTCACAAACTTGCTCTCAGTGTCGAAGAATTTAAAAAAAAAAATTAATTCTTCTCATTAAATGATAGAGAATCTTTTTCCGAAGGTAATGACACCAAGAGTATAAAATTTGATGGCAGACTTGTGGAATTATGCTCTCGTGAACTTAGCGGTCTCGGCGATATTTACACATCGGTGATTTCGCCCACTGTGAGCCCTATTTTTGGCCAATTCTATCGTTCCAGTCAACCATACTCAAAGCTATTTCACTAGAACTCCATTTGTTCTACCAATTGAGCACAAGAAAATGCCCATTTACTGATATCAACTACCCAATAAAGTGATCAGAAATTGGTAATTTCGTACACAATTTAAGGAAGGCCAATTTCAAAATAGGGTCCAGAATTAACCCTTAAACGGTCCAAATAGATTGGCATTCAAATCCATAGTGCTCCAAAAGTAGATTTTTTTTTTTTACATATTTTCAAATATACCAAAAAAAAAAAAATATGTAGATAAAAGTTTTTTTACACATTTTCAAATGTAAAAAAAAAATAAAGATGATGTACATTTTCTTACATACTTTCAAATGTCGAAAAAACGTATATATACATTTGGACTGTTTAAGGGTTAACAATACAAACATTCTTAGCACTAATATAACATTTTTCTCTGTTCATTAGTCACAGCTCCAGGCCCCTCTTATATGATGCTCGCTTTCCATTTTGAATTTTTATTCACACACAAAATAGAAGATTTACTGTTGAACAGATTACTGCATTATTGTAAAAATGGTATAAATAATATCAGAGCATTTGTGAAAGCATATTAGACCCAGCAGTTGACTTGTATTAGATGCGTGATGTGATTTGTTTACTCTTGAACATCGGCAAAAATCGAACACTTCCAGTACTTTGAGCTCAATTTCAAGGTACTTTTATTCTGTAAACCATTCAAAATCGCCTCTATTTCTGTAACATATCTTCCTTTCTATCAAATGAGACCAAGAAAATGAGAATACAACCATAAATACCATATGAAAATACATCGTAAAGTTTGTGGTTTAACCCTTTGACTGTTTTGGTCATAATATACGTCTTACAAGCTACTGTTTTTGACATATACACCTACCATCCGACTTACGACCGAGTTCGGTTCTGAGAAACCGGTCACAAGTCGAAATGGTCGTAAGTCAAACTTTACTACTGAATATCAACAAAACATTTTTGTAATGACTATTTTATTGTTTTATTTTGGTATTTCATGTTTTATTTTACTTTTTATGCTGTTAGTACTGTATTTTATACAGTAAGGTTAAGGATAAACACTGTGTACAACACAAATAGTTGTTTATTTCCCAGAAATTTGGCATAAAAAACACGATCGTAAGTCGAGTGGTCGTAAGTCAAGCAGGTCGTAAGTCAGATGGTAGGTGTATATACACCTACAATCCGACTTACGACCTGCTTGACATACGTCCACTCGACTTACGACCGTGCATCTGGCAGCTGGGCTGGGCTGGCTGATGCATACCTCTGTACAATATTTGATGATACTCGCGGCAGCAATGCACCATGCAGGCAGCATCAGTTTGAGTAACCCTGTCCTAGCAGCAGCATCATACTGTATTAACTGTACTAACTGGACAGTAGATTTTACCATGGCCCCTAAGATGAAGTCTAAATCTTGCACTGGAGATTGTGGCAAGAAAGGCTCTTATTCTCGAACTCTCTATTTGTTTTCACTGTTGCACATAAATCTGTCTGTATCAGTCTGCCTGTATATCTGTGTCTGTCTGTATCTCTGTGTGTCTGTTTATTTGTCTTTCTGTCTACCTGTGTGTCTGTCTTTCTGTCTACCTGTGCATCTGTCTTTGTCTACCTGTGTGTCTGTCTTTCTATCTACCTGTGTCTGTCTTTCCATCTGCTTGTCTGTCTCAGAGCCGCTCACTAAGAGTGTAATTGGTCTTGAAGACGCCATATTAATAATGATAATAACACAATAATAATCACTGAGGCGCATTAAATGTGTATAAAACGTTAATATAGACATTTTACTTAATCCATCTATGATTTTTCTTTTCAAAATTATATAATAAACATGCTACGTAACACATAAACATATAAATTAACAAATGTGAGATGTTTTTCTGGTTGGCTTGACAGAGTGAACAAAAACCATTCGTGTCCGGGCTGGTAACAACAACAACAACTAGTTTGTTTACAAAACTCGCGAACCTTCTACACTCTCATTCTCTCTCTCGTTTATTCATTTAATCTTGTTTACCCACCTCTCACTCTACATTAAGACTACAGATACAGTGGACCCCCGCATACCGTTGGCATCACATAACGTTAAATCTGCATATCGATACATTTTATCACTAAGATTTTGCCTCGCATACCGCTAAAAAACCCGCTCAACGCTATTCGTCTGAGATGCGTCTAATGTGCGGCCTGAGCCAGCCTCACATGTTCCGCCGGTGGCATTGTTTACAAGCCAGCCTCCGCGGTAACATCCAAGCATACAATCGGAAAAAATTTTGTATTTATTACATTTTTTTTGGTGATTTTTTCTGCAAAATAAGTGACCATGGGCCCCAAGAAAGCTTCTAGTGCCCAACCCTACAGAATAAGGGTGAGAAATTACTATAGAGATGAAGAAACAGATCATTGCTAAGTATGAAAGTGGAGTGCGTGTCTCTGAGCTGGCCAGGTTGTATAGTAAAACCCCAATCAACCATCGCTACTATTGTGTCCAACAAAACGGCAATCAAGGAAGCTGTTCTTGCCCAAAAGGGTTTAACTGTGTTTTCGAAACAGAGATCGCAAGTGATGGAAGATGTTGAGGACTCTTATTGGTATGGGATAAATGAAAAACAGATAGCAGGAGATAGCATCTCTCAAGTGATCATAAGTGAAAAGGCTAGGAAGTTGCATGAGGATTTAATTAAAAAAATGCCTGCAACTAGTGATTTATGTGAGTGAATTTAAGGCCAGCAAAGGTTGGTTTGAGAGATTTAAGAAGCGTAGTGGCCCTACATTTGTGTGATAAGGCATGGTGAGGGCTGCCAGTTCGAAAACCCCAAAGCAGCTGAAAAATATGTGCAGGAATTCAAGGAGTACATAGACAGTGAAGGACTGAAACCTGAACAAGTGTTTAATTGGATGAAACAGGCCTGTTTTAGAAGAAAATGCCAAGCAGGACTACACTACTCAGGAGGAAAAGGCACTCCCAGGACATAAGCCTATGGGAAAAACAGGGGTTTCTCTGTTGATGTGTTCCAATGCTAGTGGTGATTGCAAAGTGAAGCCTTTATTAGTGTATCACTCTGAAAAATTCCAGAGCATTCAGGCAAAAGAATATCCTCAAGGCTAATTTGTGTGTGCTGTGGAGGGCAAACAGTAAGGCATGGGTCACTAGGGACTTTTTCTATGACTGGGTTTCACCAAGCATTTGCCCCCAATGTGAAAAATTACCTAACTGAAAGAAATTAGACCTTAAGTGCCTCCTGGTGTTAGACAATGCCCCTGGTCATCCTTTCATACGTGGCAGAGCGACTTATGGGGACATGAGCTTCATTAAGGTGGAAGTTTTTGCCTCCTAATACCACTCCTCTCCTGCAGCCCATGGACCAGCAGGTTATTTCCAACTTCAAAAAACTGTACACAAAAGCTCTGTTTGAAAGGTGCTTTGTAGTGACCTCAGAAACTCAATTGACTCTAAGAGAGTTTTGGAGAGATCACTTTAATATCCTCAATTGTGTAAACCTTATAGGTAAGGCTTGGGAGGGAGTGACTAAGAGGACCTTGAACTCTGCTTGGAAGAAACTGTGGCCAGAATGTGTAGACCAAAGGGATTTTGAAGGGTTTGAGGCTAACCCTGGGAATCCTATGCCAGTTGAGGAATCCACTGTGGCATTGGGAAAGTCCTTGGGGTTGGAGGTTAGTGGGGATGATGTGGAAGAGTTGGTGGAGGAGGACAATGAAGAACTAACCACTGATGAGCTGCTAGATCAACTTCAACAGCAAGAGGCCAGACCTGAGGAAACTGTTCGGAGGAGGGGAGAGAGAAATTGAAGAAGTTGCCTACTTCAAAGATTAAGGAAATGTGTGGAATGTGGCTTAAAGTGCAAACCTTTTTTGATGACAATCACCCTAACACAGCTATTGCAAGCCGTGCTGGTGACTATTACACTGACGCTGTTGTGAAACACTTTAGGAAAGTCATAAAGGAACGAGAGGTACAGGCCACTATGGACAGATATGTTGTGCGACAGAAGTCCAGTGACTCTGAAGCTGGTCCTAGTGGCATTAAAAGAAGAAGGGAAGTAACCCCAGAAAAGGACTTGACACCTCGAGTCTTAATGGAAGGGGATTCCCCTTCTAAACACTAAGACTCTCTCCTCCTCCCATCCCATCAATCATCACCAGATCTTCAATAAAGGTGAGTGTCATGTAACTGTGAATGCCTTTTTCAGTTTGTGTGTATTAAAATTAATATTTCATGTGGTAAATTTTCTTTTTTTCATACTTTGGGGTGTCTTGCACGGATTAATTTGATTTCCATTA